TTTTGTATATCTGGACAGATATAGCTGACATCCTGTTTTTTTTCTGTAAAACAGGCAACACGGAAACTTTTAAAGCACAAATTATTTGTAAAAGCAGAGAAGTGCGAGTTTCATGTGTCTTTGTGAGCTTAATGGGTTATATCATCAAGAGTGGGCAGGTAAAAGATGACTAAGGGAAGGTGAAAGCAGCTGTTAAGTGGCTGCAGCACGCCAGTCAATAACATCTCAGTTTTGGGAGTACGCTCAATTCTACCTGAGGAATCTCAGGAATTACACCGTTAACTCTAGTAACTTCTGTCAGAATTTATTCCACTGTCAAAAAAAAAAAATTCAGTTCAGATCCAATCCTTGTTCATCCTAACCGTACTGGTCCAGTCATTGTTAATCTCAGAATTGTTGATTATTGTTAATCACTATCCAGAGTGGATAACAAAAAATGGATCCATGAACCTTATAAGCCTTTTTCTGTCACAGTCTCTCCCCAGTGAATCCTCTATTCATCTATATGTGTGTGGTGCTTGTAGAAAACGAGTGGGGTTTCTCTCTGTTAGCGGTGTGTTCTGCTGCTCATGATTAAGACCTTTAGACAACAGACACATACATAGGTGCTGATGTCTAAGAGGATCATTAAAGAGAGAAAGGCAGAGAGGAAGATGGCCTTAAGGAGACTAAATACGCACACATGCAGATGCAATAACATAAATATACAGATGTGCAAATGTACTGCGTCCTGGCTAGCCTGAGGGCAGCGGTTTAGTCATTTCACTGGTGCCTAGTTGATGTGAGGAGTGTTAGAGGGGCACAGTGCCTCCTTTATGTTTCAGAACAGAGGGGAAAATCAAACCCTGGAGATGGTTAGAGGGCGTGAAGCACAGAGAAAAAGCCTGGAGAGAAGACGGAGCAGTGAGAGAGAGAAAAGATGCATCAGATAAAATACAAGCAGGACAAAGAGAGAAAGGAAACATGGGAGACATTTTGTAACAGGCGATTCTCTAATGAGAGATATAACTGTGCTGAGTCCTATCAATGTGGGAGAACCTTCAAATTGCAATATATGTGCAGGCCTTTTCAAGCTGGATCCCTCTGAGAGACAAGGAGGGTTTTGTAACTGATGTATTTTTTAGTATACGTGATAAAATGTGCCAAACATTGGGTGACAGTTCCTATGACAGCTTAGCCATAAAATGTGTTTGTATGCTCCAACTAAAGTGAACTGTCAGCATAAAGAGGAGGACATAAAAGCAGGACATGGAGGCTGACAAAAAACGAACAAAAACAGAGATCCTTTTTTGGGCTGTTTCAAAAGTCCAGTAAAAGAAACAAAGAACTGTAAAACACGTCCAACATCGCAGCTTCTGCATTAGTGCATATTCAATACAAACAAACAATTGGTGGATGAATCGAGCTTGAAATATAGCTCTAATAAAGTAGCAAATAATTACTCTTTATAAACCCATCACACCCTCTTGGATAAGGACACACTGAGACACATACAAACATATTTCAGCTGGTAATCAGTTGGTCCTGCACCTAACAGAGCATGCTCAGAGGTCGTGTTGTGTTCTCAGTGAGCTGGCCTCACGTTGACACTGAATCTTTGCTTGTTCAAAAACAACCCGGCCCTTTGTCCTCACAGGACCTGAGGATAAATAAAGACACCCACTTTGGGCGATGAGAGGAGTTCTCCACACACTAACCAGCACATGCCGAACGCTCTCGTAAAAAAAACGGACAATGCTGAAAGGAAGGATTCAGATGCTCTTTGCTTTAAATTGTAAATCTTTTTATTGGGACATGAGTCACAGTTAGACAAGGAGGGTGAGAACCTCTTACTAATAGCCTATAAGAGACAATAAAACATGAGCTTGAGGGTAAAAGGCTATAAAGAAGTATTTATGTAGACTACTTAAAATAAGAGGCAGTTGAGTTGGAGTTTTAGGGCTATTTTTTTAAAGACTCTTGAAAAAAAAATCTCAAAAATACAGCTATGACTCTTCATTTCACATTACTTGAAATATCTGCAAAAGAAAAAAATTGTGGGCTTGACAAAATAGCATCGAATTTGCATATTTAAACTAATAACCAGGATAATTGAAAGCACTTTAAATAATATTAATCAATAGGAAAGTTTTCTGATGTTACCTATCAAACCTTTGTTTTTTGTTTTTTTTAAACCGCTAAATTATTTTTACAAAAGTACAAATGTATGGAGTGCAGAGAGATCTGTTTATGCAGCACTTACAGCCTGACTTGTAAGAATATGAAAACAACTGTGCAGAAAATCTCCGTTTGTTTTTTTTATCCTGTTTACTTGTTGCATCCCCTGATTTATGCAATATTTTTCACTTGACATTATTTATAATTTATAAAGCGCTTTGAGTGCTCAGAGTAGAAAAGCGCTATATAAGAACCAGTCCATTTACCATCACTTGTGAGATTGTGATATTACTTAAACAAGTAATTTCATTGTTTCCCTAATTATTCAAAGGTAGAGTTAACAAGTCATGCCACTTATCATTTAATTTATTATCACCACCCAAGCTCTGCCACCTCCTAACTGTCAGTTCCTTCCCTCCACCTCAATCTGTGTGAGTCCTGGTAGTGGTACCGTGGGGTAAACTGTGAAAGCAAGCCAAGTAAGCACAACATTCATCTAAGTCAATTTGGAAATGAGCAGGAGTGTGTTCTTTGTGGTATCTAACCAACTGTGATCAGGGGACTGCATATGCGAAAACCCTCCTCACATGCCCATTAGAAAATAAGCTGGCAACCTCCTGACAGCAAGAACAAGAACTCCTTTATTTATTGTGTTTGGCTCGACATGAGAAGGTCACAAAGAAACAAAACGGAGTGTTCAATGACTTAAAAGTGATAAAGCCTAACATGTGTGATACAGTGTAGAAATATTCCCTTTGTATATGTTTCTCCTGTAATGGGTTTAAATTGTATTTTATGGTTCATTGTTTTTTAATGGCTAATTTAACTTCGGCCCAAGAGCTGGGAAAGGAAGGGAAGTCTAAAGTCCAGTCACGGTAAAAAAAACAAACAAAACCAAACAAATGATTTTTTTTCTGCCAGTTTGAACAAAAACTAAGCCAAAATGCAACATTAGTGTGTAAAAAACACAATTCATGAGTCTTTTTCAGTCATTCCGTTCTAGATTTACAGCTGTTTTCAAACTCATTTAACTGTGGCAAGACCAAAATTGGGCTAAGCTTTGGCCGTTAAACAGACGGCCTCACATTTGACCCTAGAACACTTTGGTATACCGAGCAGTTCATGGTCGACTCAGTGACTGCAAGATGTCCAAGTTCTGTAGCTGCAAAAGAAACCCAAATCATCAGCCCTCCACCACCGTGCTTGACAGATGGTATGAGATGCTTGTGCTGATATGCTATGTTTGGTTTTCACAAAACATGCCACTGTGCATTGTGGCCAAATATCCACTTTGGCCTCGTCTGTCCAAAGTAAATTGTTCTACAAGTTTTGTGTTTTTATTCAAATGTAACACTTTTTTAGAGGCTTTCTCTCTGCAACCTTTCCAAACAAGAATTTTGTCATGAACTTTAACATTCAGCATACCAACTAAGGATATGTGAAAGTGAGTGTATTTTCTATTTACCATGGTCCCTCTAACATCTTAAAAATTGAGACTTATCCAATAATTGTCAGTTACCGTGTTCACTTCACACAGGGTATCACTCAATCAATATTTAACCAGATCGGGGTTTTTTTTTTATTTTTATTTTTTAGAAGTTAATAAAGAAGTGGAGGAGTGACATAACATGTTTATCCTTGTTAAAGAGAAAAAGCAAAAACAGCCAGTGCAAATGGGCTGATATCAGCATAGGATGGAGGGTTTGGGTGGGAGCGACACACAGATGCACATAACTGATAAGTAGCTACTTAAACAGACAAATTTAAAAAATAATAGGTTCAACCACTAAAACTGGAGCACAAGCTTCTCACACGGTCTGTGCCTTACAGCAAGTCACATTACTTACCATATAATTACATGTAATTACATGAAAATGCTCCGAAAGCCACAAACACCATAAACAAGGTCAAGAAGTCATGTTGAGTGACTCGTGTGGAAGTAAGGCCTAGTATGTCTATCAACAAAAACATGTCAATCAAAGCAGCCACACCTTCAACTTTATCCTTTAACAAAATCCAAACGGCTGAGCCACAAAAAATTATGAAAGGGGTACAATATCAGAACTAAATACTTTTTGTACATTTGTACATGTCAATGTGGAACAACTTGCTTTAGGTCTCATGTGGCCACTCCAGGAACTCTGGGAATTTTTCACAGATGGAAGTTGGCCCATGGTGGCAATATCAAGAGTGGTATCAAGAGGTGTCATACAGACAGTGGTTTTATAAGACTACTAGCAACATCTTTATCTCATCTTTACCCTCAACCCATCAGGATGGTGTTTAAATGTGACAAAATTTAACTTAAAACATAGAACTACTGATCTTAAAGTTCAAACTGATATTAAAATACTTTGTTTTGGACACTAAATTACTTTATTATGTGTAAACGTGTGTGGCAGTTCTCAACAAATTTCACTGGTGAAAGTTTGAGACTCATGGAACCATTTTTTGGAGTTTGTGTGCAGACTCTTAGCTGTCTGATAGTATGACAGGAATATAACTGTTGGGGACATATATTAAATGAAATACCATCATGTCAGATATTGATAACTTGCACAGTTAGAGGAGAAATCCTTTAAACAGGCCAGATAAAACTGTGATGGTGAACCTCTGTAGGAATCCTAATGAATGTATTTTTTATTGTGAGACATAAACTACCACAAAACCACAGCGTGAACAGTTCACTCCTGTGAACTGATTTTACCACGTTTCTTTCATTAATGCTGGTGCACTTTGATGAATAACGTGAACATCCTGCCTATCTTCCCTCACTCCCTCCTCTAAATAAAAAGAGGAGGGGTTGGGGGTTGCGGGGTGTGGAGGAGTGGGGCAGGGATCAACCCTGCAGACTCTTGAGTGTACACCCAGACTCAGCGCAGTACTGGAGAGGAGAGCACAAGTAGAACTGCTGACTGGAGCCACTGTAAGTTTTTTCATTAACTTTGGCCCCAGTGACAGAGAGGACTGCTGCTGTTGGAGATGACTGAACTGTCACTGTTGGAACAATATTCCTCTGCTTTAGGAAATGTTCTCTGTTCTGAGAGCCTGAGAGTTACTGAGGAACTTTAAACTAAGAGACGCAGATATCGGAGAATTCCCACTTCAGAGTTTGGTAAGTAAGAACTTTAACAAGAGCAACTGGAGAGCATTAACTGACTCATTTAGGGACTGTGTTAAATTAACTGTTTAATCGATAAAAAGGGGGAAACCTACAGCCTTAGTGTATTTATGTCTTCTTTCACTCATCCGTTGTTAATTGAATAATCTAACAGTTGTATTTTCCTTGTTCAGGGTAGGAATTCTAAAAACAGCCTTGTAATTGACCCCTGAACATTTAGTACAATGATGCACAAACATCCACGAGAAGTGAAACTAACCAAAAGGCATTTTTGAATCTAAGGGGACTTTGACATCCTTCTACATTAGATACAAAGGTAAGCTGAAATAAAAACACTCTGCCTTATGCCTTATTCTCTCTCT